GAAAGATGGGGGGCGTGTGAAAATAAGCGGACTGAAGAGTTAAAAAGACAAAAGGGAAAGCGCGACGCGTTACACGCGCGGGCAAGAAAAATTTTCCCGGGGAAACGCGCGACCGGTGCGGAAGGGCGTTTATCTTTTCCGCCGGCATAGGGTAAACGGGAGAAAAAGTGAGAGAGCGAGGGCGAGCCATGGGGAAGAAAGCTGCGGCAAAACAGGAGGAAAAAGAAAGAGGAGAGAGAGGCCGGGGAGCCGGATGCAAAAGGCTTGACGAAGTAGGAGGATCCTATTAAGCCGCTCAGCAGGCAGCACGACGCGTAGGTAAAGCGAGCCACGGCACACGCTTTTTATTATTACGAAATTACTGTGCACCCGTGCCACGCTAAAAAGGGACAAGCTGCAAGAAGAAAGAAAAAAAGAAAAAAGGAAGAAAGAATTCCGCTTCGCCATTACACGCCACTAAGTACCCTAATCGCGACGCCATTAACATGTGCCCGGCGTCACGAGTCTTCTCTCTTCGGGGACTACACGTCGCGTCTCGAAGACGTCGACCATTCTACTTTCTGTTTCCAGACGAGCTTCCTCAATGAAACTACAGACTTCCAAGTTTTTGTAATTTTTGGCGACGAGGAAATTTTTTAAAAGTATCGGGACGTTTGATCCTGATACTTTTGGATCAAGAAAGTGCTAAAACATTTGCAGATACTTTTGTGAACATTAAAGCATAAAATTTGGACAGTTAAAAATTTTATTAACCTTGCTATTATGATTGATAAAATCTGAATATATAAAAATTATGAGATGTTTAGTACAAGTATATTCATTTTGTGTTGAATATGTTGCTTGCGAAAGCATTTTTGAACAATGAGAAAGATAAAATAATTAAAAGAATGAAGGAAAAAAAAAATAAGTGGAGCATGTTCTTTTGTTCAACGTTATAAAAATATATATATATATCCGTGTCATATTTCATTATGCATCGTCTGAGTTATCTTCTGTCAAATACGACACAATTTTCTTTCTTTCGCAGCTGTACAAATACTTTACGGCGCTGTCGTCAGACGATGCAAAAAGAAAAAAAACTTTAACAGCTTATATTACACATCAAAATTCTACTTGCAATTTATTCTTATGTTAAAACAACAGGAAATTTCGAATAATTATATCTCACCTTTACTTAGCTTCTTCATATGATCAAAATCACGACTGTAACATTTAATATTATTTTTCACTTTTCTACTTATCTCACTATCCATCATTAAATATCTCAAATTTTCAAAGCAACAATATCTTGTCTCTATTTCGCCTCTCGATGTAATCAAAATTCCAGTTTAAACCTTTGACATCAAATTTATATCAATCTAGTAAATTCCTAATATCTAATGATAATATAACAATTCATCCAATTTTCTCTCTTCTATCGATCTTTAAAATCACCGGAAAATCCCGAGCAATAGCACATCTTAACCCCATTTTACCCTTGATATAACCATTTTCAAAGCTTAGAACGGCAAATTAAACATTAAACGAACGAAACGAAGTCCCTGTTCTTCCCGGTTCTCGGCCTCCTCCATATTAATTCAACTCCAAAGGAAGTACACGCCGCTGAAAATACAAGGAAGGGAATATTGCTCCGATTTTCCCGTAGTCCACGATGCATAAAGTTGTTCCCAGAGATGGATCCTCTCTTCTCCTGTTAGCTGGCAGCCGAATGGGAGTTATCGAACGGCAATATATACAAACAATAAACGCGGCTGATTCCTACACGTCTGTTAAATTCACGCTTGTCAGTCGCAGGCCGCTGGCGTGATATAACGCTGCGTTACGTGAATTTGACGAGAGGGTGGTGGCCAATCGTTTGTTCCCCGATTAATCTGGCAAGACTCTCGTCGAACTCCACTAATATTTCAATAACCAAGAAACTCTCCACGGGGGAGAGACGATATTCTCGTGTAATACGAATGTTCGAGAGCGTGAACGGCGTTCGATTGTCTCTTGTTTAGTCGATCGTTTTGTCCCGCAGGAATAGGAAACCTCGAAACGTTCTTCGAACCGCGTTGTTGCATAATATTATACGCGAATATTATAATAATATTACTTAATTTTAGTGACTGGACAACGCGCGCTGGCTAACTCGAGGCTCAAAAGGCGACGTTTATTATACTGTGAACTTGTGTCATCTGAAATTCAGATCCGTGTTTTGACGTTTGTAGGTGAATTATAATGTCGATCGTTGCTGTTTGTTTATTAAGGACGTGTTCTCTTCACACGATGTTTCGAGTAATGGTAAAATATTTAATTCTGCTCGTTCTTAGTTTTAATTTAAGAAAGATCCTGTTTATTCGCTGATGGCAGCTTCTTCGAAGATTAAGAGTTGTCCAAAATTTACGAGACTTTTGAAGAGCAAAAGAATTAATTTCGACAAATCGATTGTAAATATGAAACGAGGAATAAGAAAGGTTTTCTTCTAATCGAGCTCGATTGAAACTTGGGTTATATAATATTACCACATCTAGGTATATTTCTTTCATATTTTATTTTCTTCACTTCTTCATTGTAACTTTTTACTGCCACAACCCAACAATGTAAATCACCCGTAACAACTGTAATTAATCTCAACATTCTCCTCGAGGGGCGAGCAAAATTTCCATTCTACAAAGAGGCGAAATCAATTTTCATCGACACGCATCTCTCACGTCACCATTTTCGTCATCACGTTCAATACATCGAACAGTAAACGATCATCCTGATTCCTGAAGAACCTCGAACGAGATCGTTCGTTTTCTTGTAGATTGACAAGCAATTAATCACGATGTGTAGTTTACCGCGTTGTTGCAGCGCGCAAATTCCAAAAGACGATTATGTTCGATGGCGCTGGTGACTAAAGCGCACGCGAGGCGATGTTACAGCACTGTGTAATTAATTCGTGGCTGCAATTAACGCCTGTTATCGACGTTACATCGAAGGTGTGCGCTTCTGTTCCAGCGGTACAGAATGAACGGCAACCGAGAAACACTGCCACTATTAGACCAGAGGCTCTCGTCGAGATGGACCAGGAACGCGCGCTTCGTGAGGCAGCAGTCGCCGTCGGTGTATTTGGGTAAGCCATTATTTTTTTATTTGACGCGTGTAGCTTCTCGATAGAAACGATACCAAGAATAGATCGATATAAGCTGAAGTAAGTTTGCCAGTATTGGGACTTTTGTGCATTTGCGACAACTCGAAAAATTTACCGCGAAGAAAGACTGTTTTGGAGACAGTTAGATCGACGCACGCTTGTCCACAATGGCAGTCAAGAGGAATTTATAAAGTAAAGTCATTCATCTCTCTAAAATAACATTTATGTCTTGATTAATAAAAGGAATTCGAGTGAAGAATTCGAAGATCACAAAATTTCTTTGAATCGTGTCACTCTCGAAGCGTGGAAAGGCGCGTTGAGATACATAACTTAAAAAAAAAAAAAGAAGAAGAAAAGTAACGACGAAGGAAGAAACTGGAGCAATCACGTCGAAAGATGTGAGACACGCAGAGAAAGGAAAAGGTGATAATTTCGAGAGAAGCTGTGCGGCTATCGACGCCGAGCCATCGTCGGCACGCTCGCTGTCGCTTTTAACGTTCACCCCTTGGCGCTCTATGGATTTTCCATTAGTTCCAACCTGAGTACTCGGTTACCTGAAAAACGGTCAGCCACGGGCTACTAGTCAAAGGTAATTTTTCATGATAGATCACGCTCGGCGTGGCGTGTCGCGAGCGCGCTTGCTCACGACGGCGAAAAGTATGCTGCTGTCCAGCAGAAGATCAAACGTGCCAACAACGTCGTCGCCTCTCTTGCTCTTATCGTTGTTGCTCCCGATGAATCGCCGATTATCGATCGGCAAGCCCTCGCCGTTACCTTTAATCCCCCACCCCACACTCTGACTGGCCACATGGATCCATTCGACGATTCATCGCGTCTTTGCGTCACCTAAATACACGCAATACACTACTCCAGCGTGCGAAAAGATATCTCGACGTGGTTGATGTGTCGTGCACGTTTGGAAGAAATGGAGCGAGGATCTTGGATAACTATAGACACGATCGCTTCCTCGGTTTCCGTTTCCTTCGGTTTTTTGCCTCTATCTAAGAGTTTGATTCATCTGAACGGATATTCCATTTAATTTTCGGGATTTTAGTTCAGGCGATTGATTGTCCATTTGTAGGAAACGTGAACTCCTGTCCAGCAGGTTTCGTGTATTTATATCTAAATGTAGAATTGATTATTTGTTGATTCCTTTGGGAAATAAAAGAATTGAATAATTGAGAAGACGTGTCACGGGATAAGAAATCGTGTCTTCGACCGTTAACTGAGTCATCTTTTAATTAGAAGTTTCTATCTAAATGTCTAAGGGATAATCAATTTTAGACAGATCGATTTTAATTCTTCTAAATATAAATATGATATAATTCATTTTTAGCGTGACATGATATAAAAGCACGAAGGGAATCCATAAATATTGTGTCCATAGTGATTGACGAGTGGTTGAGCCTCTAAACTCTACGATGAAACAATTCCATTCTTTCCTACGCAATTATACACGAGAGTATAATTATTCTATAGAATGTCGACGTCGAATAAAAAGAAGACAAATTTCCCTTCGTGCGTAAAACGTTCGAATATTTTTAGAGAAAGTCAGTTACAGAGAGGTGGTCATAATTTGAAATGACACTTTGCACGAGTTAACAAGCTTAATTTGTAGATATTTGAACAAAGTTCACCAAACATTGCGTGTAAAAAGATTGGTGTATTTCTCAAAAGATTATCGATGTGAATGGGAGAGATCGTTGGAATGTGCGACTATCGTTGAATTGGCTTTCGGTCGAAATCCAGATAGTCGCAAGAGATGTATTTTAGTCTCATATTTACGTAAATACCTTACAAGATTTCAGCAAAATCTTGGAATAGTCGCTGGTAAGAAGATGCTTCGCGCAGTTAAGCAAGCAGTTTCAACCTTTCGCTCCTTTCTTATTCACTCGCCGCTATAGATCCGGATATAGATCCGAGTTGTATTGAAGCTGTACAGGCTCGATCGTGCTTCATTTGCACGTTAACCTACGATGATTACGTTGAAAGCGCCGATGACCCACATAACGAAGGAAATTTCACGGAAGGTGTAGCACAATGGGAACGACAGAAACTACGATCGATCGGACAAAATAAATTTCCGCGACGAGATAATTATAACATTACAACGCCTGTTGAAAAGGATAAATGCTGTTTATTTCAATTACAATAGCGGAGTTTAAAAAAAAAAAAAA